CCAATCTATTTAGATCATTCATGACGTGGCTGAGAAGACTGGCTCACGTCTTTTGCCAGCGACGGTAAGGATATAGCAGACACATGATTGTTATATCCGATCAGCAGACCAGAAGCAATATTACGGCAGATTTCGAACCATCGCACACAAATCAGAGACACGAATTTGCACATATTAAAGAGTGTTTATTGTTTCCAGCTTTTATAAATTTGAGATTTTAGATAAAGAAAATCACAGGCTGAAGGGCTAAAACTCAGATGGCCGCTGGATCAGAAAAGAGAAAGAAAACAAATGAAAAATCTGAATGAATAAATAACAAACATACATGTAAAGGTCTTAATTTTAGACCCCCCCCCAAAAAAAAAAAACCAGAACAAACAACAACAACCAACCAACCAACCAAACAAACAAACAAACAAACAAACAAACAAACAAACAAACAAACAACAAACACAAAACAAAACAAACAAAACAAAACAAAACAACTAAACAAAAAGAAACAAACAAACAAACAAACAAACAAACGAACGAACAAAAAACAGGACAAAAACAACAGCAACAAAACAAAAACAAAACCAACCCAAAAAAAAACAAAAAAAAAAACAAAAAAAAACTGCGTGTCTTCGAGCGTTGTCGAATGACCAGAATACGCAGCCTCACGTACGGAGTTAATCAAAATACCAAGCCTCCCATTTAGCTCGACTTTGATGAACCCGGTGCAAAACAGACAAAGATCTAACTTTGTTTTTATAGAAACAGCAGTCACATCGGGCAGCAAGTACCATGAGGCTTCACGAGTTAGAAATGCTGAAGCCAAGAGAGAAGCCCGCAAGCTGCGCAAATAAATCTTGTAAATGCTCAAAATGTGGCAAACACTTCTCTGTCAGAATTGGCCCTATTGACCGTAGCAAATGACACAATTTAAACTATGACGTACGAACTATTGTTATTATTATCATTTACTATATCATCATCATCATCATCATCATCATCATCATCATCATCATCATCATCATCAT